TATATATAAAATACATGTATATTATAGCTCTATTATAGTGTTATTGTATTATAAATATAATTATTATCCTTTTTGGCACACAATTACTTGAGTAGAAAAACATTACAAAATTATACAATCTATTTGCTAATCCTTAATTGTAATGTTTGGTTTGTACATACATCATCATATTTTAATGTAAATATAAAGTATTGGATTTTTTAACATTTAAAAAATATTATTTTTGAAAATAGTAAACTATTAAGTGTATATTATATAGATAAAGTTAGTGCAAATATCTTTGTTATGTTAGGGAGGTCCTGTACAAAAAATAACCATTCCTAAAGATCGCGATGGCAAACAAAGAACATTTGGATTTATTACATATAAACACATATATTCTGTGGAATATGCTTTACGTTTATTTGATGGTACAGAACTGTACAATCGTACTCTTAATATGAAACCGAGGAATAATGCTGAATCACAGCAAATGGAACAATCTTTGAATCCTGTTCGCAATATAAATCACATGTTACAATTAGGGCAGCAAATGATCTTGGGAAATTATCCACCACAGAATGGCAGTGCAATGTTTTTGGCACATATTTCACAAAATGTTCCGACATATTCAAGACAGTTGGATGCGAACTCTGGCAATGATGATAGAATTAGAAGAAATCATCCTTATCAAAGGAACAGAGATAGAAAACAAGAGAGAGATAGAAATCAAGAGAGAAACAGGGACAGAAATCGAGACAAAGATAGAGAAAAAGATAAGGCAAGAAGCAGAGAACAAAATGATCACTACAGAGATGAAAGATCATACCATAATAGAGATAATTGGAGTCACCGTTCCAATAGCTATTCCCGATATAATGATAATAAAAAAAGATGGACTCATTGATAATAAGTGTTTTTTGATCTGTCATTGCTAATTGGATTTTCCATTAATTTCTAAATTTAACAAAATAAGCATAGATTTAGTTCTGTTTTTCCTTTTTTTTTGACCTGACAAATACATACATTGATAATACAATTTTGTTATCAATAATTGTAATTTTCAGTATACAACTACAATTTTGTAAATATTTTAGTTCTATTTACAATTCTGTTTTGTAATATATATAATTATATAATATATGCTGATATATATACATATATGGTGTGTGTCATATAAGTAGTCTCTATATAAATTGATAGAACAAATAAATGTATTTTTGCCACATTTAATATTACCTATTGAGAAAGATTTATATATTGTAATGAAGAAGTATGCACACCATTATCACGCTAATGATTGAAGTTACATTGGGGAAACTTTGTGTTTTTGTCTATTATTATATCAATAAATGTATCATTATATTAATGACAATCAATTTTTCATGTGCATCATTATATCAATACAATCGATAAGCTACTTTAGTTGTAGGCTTTATTTTTGTATTTACATATATCATATATCGAAACAAACATTAAATACATAACAAATGTGGTATGAGTTGTATTGTTTTCGTACGTTTTTTTTTTCCGTTGTCCTTTCATCTTTAATAATACGGGCAGCTTTTTGCGCTAACATAAGCACAGCTGCATTGATATTTCCGCTTGGTAGGGACGGAAGAACTGATGCGTCCACAACGTACAAATTTCTCATATTGTAAACTCTATAACATAGAATGAATATAATATTTTATATATGCAATAGAAATTTTATGATAATAAAAAGAGAAAGATTTGGAGTATTTAACACACACAAAAGACTAATATGAGTCGGATGAAAGATGTAAGCATAATAAAAACATGCTTTGGTCAATGTTACAAGATTAGTAAATAAAATCAATAAATTTGAATCTTTCTTTTAGGAATCATTAATCAGCTATATTATCCTATTTTAATTATATTCTTTCTAAAAATTCTCATTAAAACCCATTCTGTAATTTTTGATTTTAATTGATTAAAGTAGCTTTTCTTTAGATTGATAATTGTAACAAAAATTAAGATTTCTTTTCTGTTTGATTTATCAGCCTTCTAGTGTTGAATGATGGTATGTACTTTTATTTATAGTTCCATCTTGCATTCAATTCGTATTAATTTTTGTTTTCTTATAATTTTAATTTTATGATGAAGTAAATACCTGAATGATTTATCAACAACATCGCTTATACGGCATGTACCAATTGGATGATAGGATGTCAGGGTTAAATGTTGCACATAACATTTCCAATATTCTCTGGTGTCAAATGTATGATTCTCGCAACCAGGAAAAGGTTTTCTGTTGAGTGAGGCGTCATAAGCTCTCAAAACATTCGTCTTTAAAAGTTTCTTTATAAAATATAAACCTAAACATTTGTGACATTGATTAGACAACATTGTTATATTTGTATGTACACATATATATGCATCTTTACCTTTTAATATACCATATATGCACTTAATTACCTTCTACAAGAGTGTCAATATCCTCCTTGTTCGATAAATATTTCGGATCAATTAATGGTTCATCAAAGGGATTGCTGCTCTGCAATCGTAATTCTCCGCTACTCTTAGGATGTAGTAAAACAGGTGCGATTGTGATTGTATTTTCGTGCGAAAGAGAAGCGAAATATTTGTTATAAACCTAGAAAAAGAAATATATAAAGAAATAAGACTTATAAAAAGTATTTGAACATTTTTCTGGCCTTTAGTTTAGTTTGTTTTATATTCTCTATATTATGTTAATCTTTTTTTTTTATTTTGTATACCTTATCGGAAATTCCCATAATTCTTTTGAGAATAAAACCATAGTCTTTTGCTGCTCCAAGAGGTAATACCATTAATTGCAAATCTGGTATTGTAGTTTTATTTGTATGTAAAGGACTGTGAAAAGTTCCTAATACTTCGACTCCTGCTGACGTCCATGGTCCTAAATAAACCGATGAATTATCTCTACAATAAAGTATGTTAAAATATTATGATCGTAATACACATGTATCCATGAAAATTGCTTATAAATAATATAACTATTAGTCACTTGACAATCTAAAAGCGAAAAAAAAAGAACACTGTAACCTCTAAAAGCATGACTGTGTCCATCTATTCAGATTTGATATATTTGTATTAACATATTCTTACCTCTTCCAAAAAGGAAGTAATTAAGAGCTGACATAGGATTAGAGATGTCAGAAAGATTTAGTCCAAGACTTGTATTAAGCATGATCAAATCGAGACCAGTTAGAACATGATCCATCAAAGTCTGACCAACTGGCAAATCATTGATCACGCTAATCTAAATGACAGTTATTATAGAAAATAATAAAAAAATGTAATGGAAAATAATAAATAAATAAATAATTTTTTTCATGTTATGTAATAAGTATTTTGATCCTGTTTTGAGAAATAAGCAAATTTTGTGTTATGTTATTAATATAAATTGCAATATATGACTTGTATTTATTGTATATATTGTTTTCCTAAAATTTTTTTATGACAAAATAAGGCTTACAGTATAAATAAGTATAAATTGTAAGAGAAACAAATTATAAATATGTTTCAAGTTGATCACTAAAGATTACTTACATTCAAATCTTTCAAGTGCTTTTTTGGTCCAATTCCAGATAACATTAATAATTTTGGGCTCTCAATTGCACCAGCACTTAGAATAATTCCTTTTTCTGCTATTGCTGTATATTTATTACCAAATCTAAGAAATTCAATCCCTTCAGCCTTATCAAAATTCACTAGTATCTTTAATAATAATTAATTAGTTATATTTTGTTTGTTTCTTTGATATGTACAATAAAAAGGCAATAACCTTCAAACAGGCTTACTTTGTTGGCACGTGCATGAGTAAGTATGGTCAGATTCGGATAATTAGATTTCTGATGTAGAACTTTGTCTAAACTCCACCTTCTGCCATTTTCCATCGTCAACTGAGCTTTCATAAAACCTAAATGACAAAGATAGAAATATATAACATGCAACTAAAATACTTCATATATATACATATATAAAATAGATACCTGTATCCAATCGCAAATTCATGTCGCCTATATCATGATTTAATTCTTTTACTGCTTTCAAAAATACATCAGCAAAATCAGAGCTCCATCTTAATTCACCAATGCTCACTAATTTATTATTCTCTGCAACTGATTCTAAAAACAATTAGATAAAGTTTATAGAGAGTAAGCATAATTTAAATGTATCTCTGAATCTATTGATTTAGAATACTCTAGATTAGTATATAAGTTTCTTCTGTACCCATAAAATCTGGAAACCATGTTTCATAGTCCAGTCGATGTCCCAATACATAAGCCATATAATTTAAGCGACTTGTTCCTCCAACAATTTTACCTCTAGGCCATCTGCTTTGCTGCAAAAATCTTTGTGACAATATGTATGCAAGACTTCTCGATAAACGTTTCAACACATATATTTACATTGTTGATTAAACCTTTACACGCATGCTCTTGAGGAACAGTAATATACTGCCAATCATAGGCAGTTTTTTGAATCATTGGTGCCAAAAGTGGTATATCGAGAAAAAGTGGTGCAGTACCACCTGCTTCTAGCAATAATACACTTTGTTTATCCTCTGCTAACCGTGTTGCCATAATTGTACCAGCACTCCCAGCACCAACTGTAATTATTCTGATTAGATATACAGATGAACAATATAGTAGTTTTTAAAGTAGAATAAATTAAAATAAAATAGCAAATTAGTTTTGGAAATGTAGATGTTAGACACACAGGAATAATATAAAGAAATGAACTTGATTATTGTTCTAAGTTATTGAGAGAATTATTTCTAATTAAAAAATATATTCATTTGATAACTTGCAAAATATTAAATAAAAAGCTATAATTTCTTATTAGATAAAACATTTGCTTTTATATTTATATATTTTATTATCTTGTTTCAACTTTTGCATTCTAAACTGTATAACTTACCAACAATATAATCGTATTGTTGCATATCTCGAACATTGTTGGAGAACCATTGCAAAGATACATCTAACATATATGCAAAATGAATATAAAAAAGAAATATTGTCGTAAATGCGCCGGTGAAGACAAATAGTACCGATTTTGTAAAAAGAAACATTTTGATTAAATTGCTGCTAACATAAAGCGAGGCAGAGATCCTTCTATTTGATAAAACTTCTCTCTTTAAAATAATAATAAAGCCCGCGGCACCCGGTACGATCTTTCTGCTTTCTGCTAGATCATACGCGTTCTAGTAAATCATTAGAAATGCTGCATATGTACAGTTTGGGGAAGAGTTCCGTTTAACCATGTCCTGATTGACCACAGCCACACATATCGATCGGTGCCTAGAGTAACCAGCAACGATTGATCAATCAAGAGACTTATCTTGAATTGGCCAATTGGTGACGTGTCCAATCAGACCCCCACCCGTAGTGTGGTTTCACTTATCTCTATACATAGTTATTTACTAAAAGTTGAACAAAGATAGAACAACGCTCGTGTGCACACGGATGATGTTTTTGAACGCAGCCTCATGGCCTTATAGTGAATTTCGGAACACGGCTATTCCTGTATATGATGTATGAGTCGCTTATTTTGAAGTTAGTAGCAGTGTGAGTGATTTTTTTATCTGTTTAATTTACTGCTTTTAAAAAGCAAAGAAAATTAAAAAATGAATGAGTGAACTCTTTTTCAAGTTTACAATTACTATGAATTTTGAAAAACTCATTGCAGAGATCACATATTTTGTTCGAATACTCAGAGGCTTAGTAGTGAGTGATTCCATGTAATTTTACTCGTTAAGTAGAATTTTTATATCAGATCTATCTTCAAAGTATGAAAAAATAACTTATTACTTACTTTGAATAATTGCCTCAAACTCTTTAATCCTACAGGTTAAATAACACATTTATATGTATTGGCAGAAATTTTTTTAAAATTTTGATATTTATTAAATAATAGGATAAAGAAATAAATAGCGCGCATGTATCATGCATTTTGTAATATTCTAGAATTAATAAATAATATAAATAAGGAAGATA